CTTAGACACCACAAATAGAGTCATGGGTCTAATTATTCGTTCCAAACAGCTAAAATTGATATAAAAAGCGTGTCCTCGATGTGAACACGTACATTGCAGTTGGTTTCGTTTTTGCTTCAACCTTCAACTGCAAGCGATCTGGCCACGGCGCAAGCGCAACGCCGATGTACACTGGAAGCAAGCGCCTGTTGGCTTTCGTTGTTTTTGTTTGACCGGAGAAAATCTGGCAAGTACGCATGGCGCCGCTACTGTTTTGGTTTGACGGGACGCGAGAAGCTTCGCATAGAGCTTCGGAGGCGAGCACATAGTGAAGACGTGACCGGAGAAGTGCCCCTGTGATGTTCCTGGAAGACGGAAAGTAGCATTCGTAATCGTCGTGTGTTCTTTGAAAGCGAAGGGAGTCACAGGGTCCACGAGTTCGCAACCACAAGCCAATGTTCACGACAGCACGGCGTTGACTTCGGCGATCTCGTTCTGTTTGGTGCAACCCGGCGATGCGAAAAAGAGCTGAAACATTTCTCGTGTGTGGTGCGGTGCTTTGTATTCCGGGTCTGTCTGAACCACGCTTTTAACACGGAGCGCAAATTGTTTGTTGCGTGGTGGAGGTTCAACGGGTACAGTCCCGTCGTCGTCAGCTGATCCGGTCCAGCTGGTCCGGGAGGACGCAGCGAGCGTTTTTAAAAGTAAATCTTCCTTCGTTCCGTTTCAAACTGTGGAAGCATCCCGACACATACCGTGAGTAAGAAAGAAGTAGCGGGCGTTTTCAACAAAATTACGTTGTTTTAATTGAATAATGGACTCCGGATTGTTGTCTTAAATCTGCCGTTTTTTATGCTTCGTGTTGGACTGCGTTTGCATAGCGACGCACACCGCTCGAGTAGATGATTCGGTCCTGCAACGAGTTTGTTGCGCCAATCATGCGGTGTGAATAAATTTGGGCAAGGTTTCCTACCTGCCCACAGATGCATGTACTGAGACCATTTTTTATGTTGTGAACGTAGTGCTCTTTCTTTATTTTGGAAGACGCGTTGGTGCATTTATTATGGTACAATCACTTGAGAGTTGAGAAATTGGAGAGCGAGCAAGCTTTCTCAACTTTGTCTCTTTCTCTCTGGCGCTGCCCTGTTTCAGTTTCAGTAGGCTATCTACTAGCAGGTACAAACTGCTCTAAAGCAGGTAAAAAACGGGAAGATTAGGACGGTGCGGACTCCGTGTTTCGCGCTTTTCGCAAGGTGACAGGGTAAATGCTTTTGTGAGATATGCGGAATATGCAAGCGATTTTGTTATGCCTGTCGTTTGCGTCTCTCCAGCAAAACGAATAAGATGATCTACTACAAAGGTGCAATCACAAGCCAAGATTTAAGATAGCAGTCGTTTGCTTCGGTGATCCGTGTAGCTGTATTTTACCTTGCTTCGGTGATCCGTGTAGCTGTATTTTACCCTGCTCTCTGCAACACCGTGTCATGACGAAGAGCTGGAATGGTCACGGTTTGTGCTGGCCTCCCGGTTGACAGAAACCCGCGTCGCCCGCATCGGCACCGAGTGCGCTTGGGCTGTTGATGCTCAAGCCGTTCATCCGCGGCTTGTCGCCAGCTCATCCTACTGCTCAACGGTGAGGAAGCGGCGAGAGTAACCTCGGAAGTGAATGTAAATCCTCGTTCATTCAGTTATCCGGTGTCAAAGTGTGGAAGATGTCCAACGTGTACTGAGGGCGGGAACTACGAGCGTTTTGCCTTGCTTTTATAACCGAAACCAGACCAACGAGATAACTGCCTTGCGTACTCTAAAATGACGGAAGCAATAAGTTTCAACAGGTCGAGTACGCCACCGGGGATGTAGGCGAGACGGTGCACACTGTTTAAGCGCTTGCAGTATCCACGAGTGGTACCAGGAAAGCGACGTCAACAGAGAAGGAGCTCGCGATTCAGCATAATGCACTGCTACGGGCCCGTGTATCTTCAAAGTTCGGGGTGGTGGCAGTATAAAAAAAAGACGCATCAGCGCCCCATACCAGTGTTCACGAATAACACCGGTCACAAACTCCCAAGCCCCACCGCTCTTCTCGACACCGACACGACATACGACAACAAACTGCATCAAAACGCCCCAAAAGTGAAGGCGTCTGCTCCCGTACTGCAACTGCTGCAACTAGCGGAAGTGAAGTGTTGGGCGGATGTCCGAATGTCCTTCACAAAAATATATAAAAAATGCTTTGCGCAAGGATAATTTTCATTTATTATTGTATACGTAATGACAAAATCCCAATAATTTGTTTTCCTATCTGATTCAAGCTAGTCAGACTGCTCATAACACTGGTCAAGCAAGAAAATAACAAAAATTTGAACTTTTTCATGACCGGTTTAAGATTTATTGTTAACATATCGTTATTTATTGCAACGGACTAACATTATAGATTTTGCCTCCATACGTTTTAAATGCAAACAGTTCTAACACACGAATGTCCATTGCGCCGTGTTTTGTGTATTCTTCTATAAATCTGTAATGGTCAGCGACCAAAGAGCTCACCCGCACATGTCAAGCTTATATGCGCCGCGGGGAGAAATGGATATCGAGTAGGAAGTGTCGGGCGTAGTATCGGTTGTTGTGTTTGTGTACATGTCGGTGCTGTGTTTCTGTGTGCTGTGTTGCCTGCGTTGTATGGAAGGTTGCTGTGTAGTTGTGGTCGTTCGCAGTATTAACAGACTGGTCTTTTCCTTTTTTAAACAGGCCGCTAGAAATCTCGATAGGTGGCGCAAGTTACCGCCCGATTCTAAATAGTTTGCTCAAGTTATTTATCCATGTAAGTTCGGCATTCGTTTTTTTGTTTTTTTTTGTTTTGTTTAGCGGTTTGTTGAAGCTACTGACGCCGCCGACCGCCGACAACGCTCGTACGTACCTTTGCAAGTAGCTACGTCCGCCGCTTGGAGACTTTACTGTGTATAAAAGACATCGAACGAGAACTAACGCGCCCTGTGTCCTTTCAATTCGGCTGAAAGGCGCGCGGCTCGCTGGGCTCGTCTCTCGCCTGTTCTCGGCCGCTGGCCGCCATGTTTCATAAGGAACACGCTCGAAACGGTTTTGCGGAAGGCAGACACGGTGTAGCGTGTTAAGTTTACACAGCACCTCATGTGTAGACGAAAAACACAGATGGCCTCGTGTAAAACGAACACGTTTCGACGTGTCCGCTATGGGACAACGGTTTACACGTCTGGGCGTGTTATTTTTGCTAACAGTGTACTGCGTGAGTCCGTAAAGACTTCAGACCAGCAGCCCTACTCCGCTGGATTAATGTTTCATCTACCCTCCCTACCGAAAAATCCGGTATAACTTTTTGCTATCCGGATTATGGAACCGGAAATCTATCTGGATTCTATCCGGATTCTATCTGGAATTTAGATTTTCAGAAATTATTCCTTTGTCTGCAATCTGGATTTCGGGTTTCCAGAAACAAATTTCTGGTTCCATAATCCGGATAGTGAAAAGTTATACCGGATTTTTGGGTAGGGCTAGGTAACAATTGTCACGGTGTGTGCTGGTTGATATACTTCACATGTGAGTGATGTACTTTCGTTGTGTACAAGCACTTTCATAACCACGTAATTTTCATAAAACAGTGTGTGTGTTAAAAAGTCGAGCTCACAGAACGAAATGAAGCCCATATTTGTTTTGCTGCCCTCGCTTTCGCAGCCCGGCTTTTAATAACCTGTTTTCTTCGTTAAATGCAGATGACTCGGTGTTGGATTCGACTTTTCTTATTAACGACTGGGAGGTGTGGTTATTTGTATTTAAGAACTGGTTTGAGCTGGTTCGCGCTTGGTGGCATTGGCAACCAAATCTTTAGTTCAAAAACATTACTGAACCTGCAGAACCGAACCGGACCAAAACAAAAATCTACTGAACCAGAACCCGAACTGAGCCAGAACATTGACAGGGTCGCCTCCCTGCTTTTAAGTTGTAACCCATCCGATCTTCTAGTGTTTCCGTGGAACACAAATAAAGAATTAGAATTAATATGTTAAAAATCATAAGAATCGCACAGAGAACGTAAAAGTTTACGTTCTAAGGCAGGTTCCACAATGTGGTGCTACAGTCGCTTGTGCTGGCGCCGTGAACCATACCGATTGCACTTTGTCAGCGGTTTTCTGTTCTGGCCGGAGTCATTTGGGGCAGGTATACGCGGCGTCGCTTCTAACAGCGCACTATCGCTACTATTGTGTAAGTACTGGTAACAGAGATGAAGATAGAATGAAGGAAGTGGCACTAGTAGATACTCAGTTATTTCGCTGTGTTGAAGAGCCAATCCAACCCCCACGACTTACATGTGCGTGCTGCCGGTTCGCACGCCTCCCACACCGCTACCTACGCACTTATGTCCACTGTCAGTGCGATTGATCATAGACTGCACACAGGGTGGAGTTCCTTCCACATTACAAAAACGGGCAGAAGACATTACTTTAGTTAATAAGCTGCTTGCCTTCATTTAGTTTCCCTAGTTCATCCAACCAATGTAGAGTGCGGAAAAGGGGGAGGGGGGTACCAGTCTGCCGAACGTCAACTTCTATGTTTCGTAATTTATGCGGTGGAAATGTTTGTAGAACAAGAACATATGACGCTGTCACACTCTAATTCGTCGCAATGTTACTAGAACAATTCAGTTTTGAAAGTGCCATAGAGCCTGCTTTGAAAAAGTGGTCCCGATCCGTACGCGAGAAGTGAACTAAAGACGATCACAACGCCGCCATTTCTCCCGCAGCGGCCACTCTGGGAACTGCATGGCTGCACGTATTGGTTTAGGTCGAGTCGCGCAAAGGTCGGTGGCGCCGCATGTCGCAGTGCGATTTCGCAGTGGCTATATAAATCCACTTTCATATTTTGACTTGTCGCGAAAGGGTGGCGCTGTTGTCGCATTTAGTTCGGTCTCGGCTACGCCAGCGGTCCGGGTTTCAAGGGTGAGGTTTTCAACTGAATTTTCTAGTAACGTTGGACGTCGCTGTGCACAGGGCGTCGTCCTCCCAGCAGCCTCTCGTGGCCACGCATATCTTCTGCTTGGCCACCCGCTGCGTCGCACCGGGAGTCCCCGTGCACGAGTGTCCGGGCCCCCAGCTCGACGTGTCCGCGTTCTTGCTGCCGCACCTGCCGAGGCCCGAGAACTGCCAGCCCTGGGCCCAGTACCTGGTTCAGCACTCGGCCACGGTTTCAGACCTGGAGCTGCTCACGGGGCTCCGCTTCTTTGCAAGGCTACCAGTCTACGAGGCCATCCGAATGCGCACACATATACCGCAAGGACTCTGGCCTGCTGCCTGAATCATTCACCATCAGCTACTGTTTGATTAGAAGTCCCACATATCAGCGATTCGTCAGCTGAAAAGTCAGAACGAGGACAGGGCGCGTTTAAAGGTAGCGATCAATACGAAAACTATTCTCTTCTGTTTGTACGCTTTGCAGTGAAGTCAGGAGTTCCAAAGGGCGTTTAGTTTGTGCATTTGTTTCCAAGATATATTTGGTATTGGGTTTGGGACGTTTATGGCACTGTTGAGTTTTAGACACACAGAAAGGCAAATCACAGTAATATAGTGAATTAATTAGCAAGTCCATTTTCATAACGAGTTGCATTTATATTGCAGCTAGGTCACTTGGAAGAGTGAAGGAGTGAATGAACAACTGTTGTTGCACACCAAGAGAAAGCTTAGACGCCACAAGTTCCTATTTTACATCTGCCGGTTTTGATTTGAGCAGGAGATATGCCAGAGTTGATAACGACCCAAGAGCTTTTGCTTGAAACAATTGTATGGTTAAAAGAGTTTGAAGCTTGTTAATGGGAAACCTGCTTTGTATAGGTCTTCAGGTCATGAGCATGCTTTCTAGATCCTGCAAACTATTGGTTTTGTTCTTATTCTAGTTATTTCATATATTGCAGGCTTCGCTAGCACCCGGGCAGGTGTGCACAAACACAAATGAAACGACATGGCAAAAGGTTGCGCACATTCAATACAAAAGTTCAGCAATAACAAATATAAGAAAATTAATTCAAACGGGTAAGTCTGTAAACTCATTAAACTTTGACAAAAACGACGATGGCGATGAGCTGTCATCAATTTTTCTCGGCGGGCAAATCTCTTTTGTGATGATTCTTGGAGAAGAGTATCTAAAATATTATTTTTAATGCGGTGATGTTTGTTTAATCGCTCCACCGTGATTAAACCGAGCAGTCTGACGTAAAACAGGGAGTGCGAAGAGTCAATCTTTAAATGTCCGTAATAAAATAAGTAAAAAAAAAAAAAAACTCGCGTTACAGATGTTTCAGCATGATGTTAGTGAGTACAGTTCAAATGAAATTTTCATCTGTAGCGGGCTGTCTATCCAGCTGCATCTGTTACAAATAAATCTTGCGGCTAGTCATTGCACTTTGTCTATTTTTTCAGTGTTGTTTTGTGTGTACGAATTTCAAAGCCTGCATATGTAGTCCAAATGTCCTATTTTTACTGTTTCATATACACTAAGCTTTACGCTTAATGGTGCTAATGCTAAACTTCGATTTGAGAGAATAAAGTTCGTAATGCAGTGTAGCACGTATTGTTGATGTGTGTCCAAACTAGAGGTTTTGTAAATGTTAGCCGGATATATCCTATTTGCTTTGACTGCCCGATCGTAGTACTACAAAGGAGTCAAATTTTATTGTTTTTGTTTCTTGTTCAACCTAGTTCGACACCAAGAATAGTGTTATTTTTTTAGGTTAAAGGGCACATACCATACTTCGCACCACTTATCTATATTTCGAAGAGTACCATGCAGTCTAATTTCAACATCATCAACTTGTATTTTATTCTAAACAGCACAATCATCAACGAACAACCGAGTGCTAATCTTATTAAGTATACAGCCAGTGGAAGCTCATCGTTCCTCGTAGAGGGCTATCCCTGACTGAATTCTCGTAGTGTGTTGCGATGATCAACCAGCACGTCCGAGAAGGGAAGATCCATTTACTCGTGCGGCGATGTTGTGGCGGCACCTTGAAGGCAGCACAAACACTCGTTCGGTTGTCTCGGTTTACGTACTATAGTGGTGCTCGAACATCGCCCGGATTTCTTATTTCGCGCATTACATGCGTGTGCTCAAGTTCAAGGTATTACTGGTGCGTACAGTATTTGAAGGCCTGTATGAAGGTTGCGAATTTCGACGCGTTTTCATCACCCGAGAAAAGTAACTGGTGTTAGCATTCCTCAACGATCGCAACGTCTATGCGATTACGTAATTATATTTCTACGTTGTTAGATCTCTGCTAAGATTACATCGTCTTTTGCAAACGTATAAAAGGCGTATGACGAGATTTGTACTATCAGTAAAGTCGTGTTTTAAAGTCGTCGTCGTCCCAGACGGCATACTGTATCTTTTTCTTTTGATTTCTTCATCCACTCTGCCCGGCGAGTATATCCATGACAAAATAAAAGTTAATAAAGCTTAAAGGGAAACTGCAAAGAAAAAAAGTTTTTTTTTTTAATTTTTAACAGCCTAATTGGGACAAGCATGTCAAAAAAAATTTTCCCGCGAGAAAAAGCATTTTTTTACGGCAATAATTATTGCGTGAGACTGATTTTAGTTTGCGGCTATTTCGCCCGTTTTAAATCGCGCGCCACGAAGTTAGGATTCCGTGACGTTGAATCCAAATCGGCAGCTATACTTCTCATTGGCAAAGAGTTTGATTGACAGCTTAGAGCTTGGTTGTTAAACCTTTGTCATATGGTGCAATTTCCTTTTGAGTGGCATATTTTACATTTAAAGAATAACCCATGTGATGAGAGTTATTATTCTTTAGAAAAGGTTTACGAGACGGGCACTTCTGTTTGGATTCATACCATAACAAGCAAAAACTCCGCCATTCTCTCATGGCCGCCGAAGTCTCCGCTACCGCCTGTCTCGCCTACCTCGACTAATCGTTTCGCCGAAGTGATCAGTGTTCGTGCTGACCCAGGTGCTTGAGTGAGACTTCTTGAAGTGAAGTAGTGTGTGTTTAGCAGCTGTCGCAGGTGTTAGTGATAGGAAGCGACGCGGGGTTTTTGCTTTCATAGCGCGGTTCTTTCGTTTTCCTGTTTGCTTGCTTAGCGTGTTTTGTTTTTATAGTTTTTTTTTTGCGCTTGCGCGTGCAAATGCTGACTTTTCGGAGATGTCAGATGCGTGATCCCGACAGCGAGCCTTCTAGCAGCCATGTCGCCCCGAAAGGAATGCTATTTGGCTGGAGGCAATCGAGCGTCCGCGTAGCGACAGACGTGTCCAGTTACGTTCTTGTCATATCGCTCCGGAGGCCGTCGAGATTTGCACCGGGTGCCCGGGGGCATCGAACGTCCGCGACCAGACACAGCTGTTACGTAAAAGCCTGGCACAGACAGGTGATTACGTAGTAGCTGTCTGCAGAAGCTCTCGGACGTTCAAGTTCTGCGTTAGCCGACAGATTTTTTTTTCTCAGCTTTCGCACCATCTTAACGTAAATTGTTTGAATGAATATGTACTGTTATCGTAAATCTTGGCTTGTGATCGCTGCTTTGTAGATGATCATATTCGTTTTGCTGGAGATACGCAAACGACGGGCATAACAAAATCGGTTGCATATTCCGCATACCTTGCAAAAGCACTTCCCCAGTCACCTTGCGAAAAGCGCGAAACATGGAGTCCGCACCGTCCCGACTTCCCAGTCTTTTACCTGCTTTAGAGCAGTTCGTACCTGCTAGTAGGTATGTCTACTGAAACTTGAAACTATGTGCAGTGCCAGAGAGGCAAGGAGACAGCTCGCTCGCCCTCCCCAATTTCTGAACTTTTAAGTGATTGTACCGTAATAAATGCAAACGCTCTTCTCTAAATAAAAAAAAAAAGAAAAGAGCACTATGTTCCCTACGTAAAAAATGGTCTCAGTTCATGCATCATTGGACAGGTAGAAAATCTTGCCCAAATTTATTCACACCGCACGATGAGCGCAACACGTCGCTGTGCAAACGCAGTTCAACACGAAGCATAAAAACGGCAGATTTGGGACAACAATTCGAAGTTCGTTGTTCAATTAAAACGACGTAATTTTGTTGAAAAAGCCCGCAGCTTTTTACTCACGGTATGCGTCGGGAATCTTCCACATTTTGGAACGGAACGAAGGGAGATTTACTTTTAAAAACGCTCGCCGCGTCCTCCTGGACCAGTTTGGCTGGATCAGCTGACAACGACGGGACTGAACCCGTTTAACCTCAACCCCACAACAGCCAATTTGCGCTCCATGTTGGGTGTCTACTTTGAAGCACTGCACCACACACACCACGAACGTTTCAGTTCTTTGTCGCATCGCCGTGTTGCACCAAACAGAACGAGATCGCCGAAGTCAACGCAGTGCTGTTGTGAGCGTTGGCTTGTGGTTGCACACTCGTGGAACCTGTGACTCCCTTCGCTTTCAAAGCACACACGACGATTACGAATGATACTTTGCGTCTTCCGGGAACACCACAGGGGCACTTGTCCGGTCACGTCTTCGCCGTGCTCGCAAACACCGTAGCTTCTCGTGTACCGTCAAACCAAAACAATACCGGCGCCATGTTTAGCGTGCGTTGTTGCCAGATCATACCGGAAGTCGAGACCCTGCGTCGTTCAACTCAGCAGCCAAGTCAACAAAAAAAAAAAAAAAAAAGAGCAAATCCAAGAGTGAGGGGCAGGGCGTAGTTCTCCTCCGCGGCGGTCGAAAGAGCGAGAGTTTCAAATGTGGAGATATTCTGACTGCAACTAAATTACGTCCTGTGACGTAAATATTGCTAAAAAATATTTTTTTTCGCGGAACATTCGTTTTGTTACATGCTTGTCCCAATTAGGTTGTTTAAAAAAAAAAAAAAAACACTTTTTTTTTCTTTGCAGTTACCCTTTAAGCCGATAAAAACTGCATTTTTTTGCTACACCAGTGAGTGACTGCGCGTCCGCTTCTTTTTAGCGATACCGCGGAAACGGCTGACGGCGACGGAGAAGCGGCCGTCGTGCTGACGACCTGATGGGCTCGTGGCGGTGGTTGTTGGAGTGCGTACGCGCGGCGCAGAGCGGTTGTTCCGGTCCCTCCGGGCACAACAAACGCAGTCGTAGCTAACTCGCTCGTTTCAAGTGCCCGAATGACAGTTTGTGCAGTCCATAGCTTAAAAAGAAATGGCTGCAGTTTCCCCGCTTGCCACTCGAGGAACCACGTTGAAGCACTTGGTGCCGGCTCATCGGTTTCAGAGGCCCCAGGTCTAAGGACTTCCGTATATGCTCGAGGTATTCCGTACATTGGAGTCGCATCTCCTTGTCGTCCGATTTCAACGAGGAACTGGAGTCTTCGTCGGAAGAGTCGCTGCACTTTCCCACAGGCATACCTGCATACGAGACCAGTCCCTTACTATCGCTGTAGCGCAACATATCTAATTCAATTTACCTCAGCTGCGATGTTTTCATGGCTATCGCGGCGAGGAGAGGCGAGGATTCAGAATATGTCCGAAGCAATCTGAAGCAACGTTAACTCCTTCCTATGAAGCTCATTTCTAACCTCACTGAAGTCCTTATAGACCGACACGCAGAGTGGCTCTGTTTACCAACACGGCCGGGAGGCCGCGCATGCGCGGTAGCTATGTGGGCAAAAGCGAACCGGCTCTCCGTGTTTCCGCTATTGCGCTGCGTGGCGTGCGCTCGTTGTTGACGTTGTAGGGACGCTTGTATCTTTATTTGTGCGTCGTATTTCCTCACAACGTATGTAGTATGCTATGCCCGACTATTTGAGCTCGCTGCCCGAGCCTGAACGGCAGCGGTATCGAACCAAACTGTGCGTGGACGGCGTTGCCTACGAGGATCCGTACGCCGTAAACAATGCCTGCTGGACTTCTGATGTAAAGTTGCTGCCACCGAAGTCGACGGCTCACGTCGTCGTTTATTTAGTTTTTTCACCAAGCCAGTTCAAGGCCGACACTGTGTAGGCGTACAAGTCTCTCGAGGCCTACGATTACTTCGAGTCGGTTTCCGCACTGCCGGCGGGATCAGCAGACTGTGGGTCTGCGGAATCGTATTTATTAATTAAAGAAATACGCACAGCGTCTTCAAGTCAAGGCATGCTATTTTTCCTACTCCCACGACCACAAGGCATGACAAGCAGTAACGCTTTGTCCGTTCTGCAGTCTTGGCGGTAACACGTTACAAGTAACGGCGTTAGCAGGAACGCGTTACTTTTTCCAGTAACGTAGTAGCCTACTGGTTACTCTTTCGACACAGTAACGGGTAACGTACTTACGTTACTATTTCAAGTAACGTAGCTACGTTACTCGTTACTATAATTACACTTCAATTTTTCCCTGTTTTTAGGCGTCAAGCCATGTTTTTCTATGCGTTTTTTCTTGTCAGTATTTAGGTGAAACCTT